CACTTTTTGCCGGCCTATTCAGTAGGGTAACCGATAGCGAAATCGGAAGAACTGCGGTTTGAATCCTGCTCACGTGGGACTTAGCTTTGTTCCTTCGTTCTGCGTCAATAATTTTATTGTATTCAATACAACTACCAAACTTTGAACCATGTTGGTGACATGCCATCGTATAGAATTGCCCAGCGTATATAAAGAGTACTTTAAATAGTTTTCAGATTTAAACCACTGTAAAGCATACGTCAGGTCTTCTACTGAACTTTTCGAAGAAGAAAGAGCCATGAAGAGGTCTCTAGTCTGTTTAATGGCTGTTTTCTGCCTTTGCTTTCAACTTACGCTCTGTCAGTTAAGCGTTTACCGGCCGCATGGACGAAGTTTTAATCCCGGATCTTTTGTCCACAAGGTAAGTTTAAACACCTCTAAGTACTAACATACTTTGGCGCTAATTAGATTTCCTCTTGTTAAATTAATTCCTTCCGTGCCTATGAAGTGGTAAACTTTTTGCAAATCGGAAGCTTGTAAGACTGGCAACTCGAAGCAATATATTATATGCAACGAATCGCTTTACTTTCATCCAAATTCCAAGGCTTAAAAAATGAATTCTGCTTTCGAGAACTTTTGGTTCAGTCTTGATTATTTTTTCCCGTCTTTTTTTCATCCCTCCAAAATCTGACCCTAATATTTCATTTCCCAATTGTTTTTTTCTTTTTTTTTGGGTGGAGAATTAAACAGTCTGCTCATTTCATTACATTTTCCTGAAAGATCGTACATTCCACGTAAGGATTTTTTTTTACTAACAAACACCTTCATTTCATCTTTTAGAAAACTGTAGGAAATGACGAAAAGAGAGGCGCAGATTACATGAACAAATATGAGAGGACCCCGGGAGAATATGAGGCAAGACCAGTCGACCGCTTGGGAAAAGCTCTGCACAGTTATTTCAACAGTGTTTCCAGTAGACGAAACTTCGCAAGAGACGCTGATAATGATAACTAGATTCCTCAAGTTAGGAAGATTGTAATCCACATGTAACCTTATAGTTAATCATAGTTACTACAGTGAAAACTGATTGAAATGAGAAATAAAAATTTTAAATTGAAGTGAAATCACGATGAGTTGTATTTACAGCGGGGTCAGTTCAGTTAAACACTGATAAGCAGAAAATATTTGATCAGCCTGTCGTCCGGACTTCCATTAAATCTACTATCAATCTTTGAAACTCTACAATTGTTTTAAAATTTTCTAACTGCATGATGGTTGCGTATCGGGTGGGGGAGGGAGAGGAGGGGTTGGTGGTGTCCAAGGATTCATAGACTACTGTCTTTTCCAAAAAGCCTTATAATTTATGATAATAAAACAGCCTTGCCCCTCCCCCCCCTTAATGCAACAAAATGTCACTTTAGGATGACCAGGATCAAGTAATATTTCGCCTCATGCTAGCACGTTAACACCCACATAAATTGTCTTCAAACTGTTTAGTCAGCAGATTGTTAATGTCAATTCATCAACTTTCTGGAGAATTGTTTTTCTTTCCTTAAACTTTTCATGTCATATTTCCGGAAGTCTAGACTAGATCCTAATTGTTCCAGAATTCCACAATTAGAAAAATAAAGGAATATTAAAGTCAACTCTCAAAAATTAATTTAATGAATTTGAGTCCGTGGCAAACAAATATGAAGCCTGGATGCCAGATATGAATATACACTTTTTTTTTCAACCTGTTATTTTCAAGACTTACAATCGAATTTACACAGGTTTAAATGCCTAGTTTTAAAAAAAAAGTTTCCCGATGTAGAATTTCCATAGCTTTTGTCACTTTTGATTATTACATACTAAATTTATTTGATTTATTTAGTTTCACTCGCTTTTGATATATTTCCTTTCTCGACGTCTTACTGAGACGCTACAGCATTTGAAAGGAAAGAGGAAAGAAAAAGGAACAGAAATTATTTCAATTTAAAGGCAACGTGGGGAAATTAAACTCGCCATGTTTCTTTTTCTCAATGAAAACTTCCGTCCGTATCTTACTGTGTTAATATTTTTGACGTGTTTGTGACAGTTTAACGTTTGTGTAATTAATACATACGTGTAAATTTAAAGAGGATCGCATCGTGGAAGCGTTCAAACAGACTTAAGTTTTCGTTGCGTGAAGATCTAAAAATGTTTTGTGGTCTAAAATTGTCCTGTTGTTGGTTGGTGTGTTGTGTTCTTGTTGTGCTTCAGGTTCAGTTCACATATGGTCAACTTGCACATAATTTTTATGCTGGCCGCTCGATCGTCTCTGATTCAGCATTCAACAAGGTATGATTGTTTTAAGGTTTTTTACTATTAGCGTCAGCAAACTGTCCAATCAGTTGTAATAACGAGAGAAAGTCAATGGATGGGGTGGGTAAGGCTGCGTCGACTGAGATTCTGAACATGCAAAGAAAGGATTTCATGTTTATTTGAATTGTAACATTTTGGAAATATTTTCAACAAATTGAACTACGCCTCGGCAAGCTACCAGAATGCTTAACAGTACTGAACATTCTAACACAAAACTAACGATAATGTATTCGAACACTTAGCTTAGCTTGAAAGACCGACAAGAAATAATTATTTCACTCGCCTTTTATGATTTTAGGAACCCCTAAAAGCTGAGGTAAAGGAAGTGAAAGAATTGGCCGATATTCCACTTGAAAAGAAAGCAAGATCCAGTTATGAAAAACCGTTTTACCAGCTTTTCAACACCTTGAAGACCCGAAGAGCTCCAGTTCTTGAATGAAACTACAACACAAACCGTTTCTGACCCGAGCCGTCACTGAGCAAAGTCATACCTCGATAGCGAGTCATAAAATTTTTCTTGTTGTATTTGTAATATCATAGCCCAGAAAAATGTTGACCTTCTTTATTTTCAGATTATTCTGGTAATAAAATGAATATTATGCAAGCTATAATATGTTTTCTGGTTAAACATAGTGTTTAACATCTTCTGTCCAACAAGAAAACTGCTCTCATTCATTGAAACTGTTTGAAAGAGCCACCATGGTGTAAAATGTTTTGAGTCATAAAACTCGTATGTCGACTCTTGAACCTGGGCATAACAGAAAAACACGAACTTAGACTTAGTGATATCAAAGCATATAGGAAGACAAGGAGAGAGATTTCTTCGGATTACAAAAGACGCATTGCGGCAGTTAAAAAAAAATTGGATTAATGCGAAGTATGATTTTCACATTAAGATTAATAAGAGCGTATCGCTTATCAGATACTTCCAAGAACACGAATTGTTCAAATTAATTGTTTTGAACTGCGTCAGCTCAAACGACATGTCTAACTTTGAAGTTACTCGTCGAATTGAGTGGGAACATAATTCAGGGATGTCTCAATTAGGAACATTTTTACTTGAACAGAAGAAGATTAAAAAAGGGTGGGAAAAAAATGCCCCTTGCTCCCGGGGGGGCTCGAACCCCCGACCTTCGCATTACTTCAGCACCCTCGGCGCCAAACGCCTCTACTGCTTATAAGTACGACGCTCTAACCGACTGTGCTACGGGAGCTTGGGTTGGTGGGAAGGGTGTAATTTACATAATTATTAGAAGTTTCCCTCGACCGGAACTTAAAAACTTGCGTAGAACTGGTACCTAACATTGAGAAAATATGGCGGTTCTCGTAGTGGTGAACTTCTAAAAGCCATCCCTGAAAGAGACATCTGAACCCGCAATGTCGGATCATTTTTACTTGTTTGCTGGTTTAGGAAGCGCTGCTGTATCAGCTTTATTCTATGGTGTGTACAAAAACAGGGAAGGTGCCATACGAAGCTTGCAGGTTCGTGCGTGTTCTATCTTGCGTTTCTGTCTATAATTCAGACCGGTTTCGCTTGAGATTTTTCTATATGATTCTTTGTAAATCAATAACATGAATGTCCTTTTATCCATGGATTAAAATTTTTGTGATATAGACATAGGTGTCCTCAAGTTTTGAGACTGTACAATCTTTCCAACAACAAAAAGAACGAAAAAATGATTCGATTGCAGTATGTACTTCTAAGCTTCAGGGAACTTTGACACCCCATTTAGGAATCTTATGTGTCTTTTTTTGTTACATAAGTATGTCGACACAGGTGAAGGAAATGATGGGACACTTTGAAGTTATTCTGACTGCGTAGGGCTTTTCCTTGCCGATCAATTAGGCTACTGACCCTTACCAAGATCTCGCCCCACCACGCTTCCTTTCTTTACAATTCCGGTGTGGCCCAAGGCCTCTGTTTCACCACCGTGATCTTGATCGCTAGTCTAAAAATTGACCTATAATACTTAAGTTAGGTTACCAGGAAGAAATTTGGAAGACTGCACCCAGTTAAATCATGATGACCCTGTTGAAATTTCTCTTGATAACATTAACTCAGCTGAATCTTAGCTCATATCTCGTCTAAATTTTAAATATGAACAGACGTCTCAAGGGTCAGCCTAATCATCAAACTAATATCTAGGGGCCATTTGGAACTGACTGAAGGTGTACATCTTCTAGCATAAAATTATGGATAAGGTATAACAATATCACACCCCTCAATGAAACACTAAGGTCACAAGAATAAAGGAAATGATCACCAACCAAAGAAACTCTAGATTGTGAAACAAATTTTCCTAGTCAGCACTGTACGCATTCCAGTGAGGAGAATATGCACACTGATGTCAGGGTGTAAAGGGTTAATGATGGACACTCGGGACCCCATATCTTAAGTTCTGTTTTTCAATCTTGGCTAGGTCATTTTTTTGTGTTCTTGAGCCAAACACTTTACTCTGACAAAGTCTCTCCATTCAGGAGTATGAATGGGTACCACAAAACTGTGGGGGAAGCTTGTTCAGTTACATTGGTATAACCTGTAATGCTTATGAATGCTTTGGTTTTATTCAGAATGCAGTAGAATTTGAAATTGGATCACAACTGAGAAATGCCCTTTTGGCCTCTGACACCCACTCAATACCTTATGGTGTTATCAGAGGAGAGACAAAGCCTCAGAAATCTAATGAGGTGATCAGAAGTTCCCATGTTGCAGATGTTACTGGAGTCATGCAGCGTGTCAGAACGCGTGAGCATAAGAGTGAATGGAGTCGAACAACAAGGCTGTGGTAGGTAAATGATATTGATAATGATGATGATGATGATAATACATGTTCTTATAAAATTGTGCAATGATGACTCGCTTGATATTTTGTTGCAGCACAACATCAAAAAGCCTTGTTGATGTATTCGGTTCTTTTAATAGTTGAATTAGTTTTTTAAAACATAAACTGAACACAATTTTTAAACTGTTTTCCAAACATATAAAAATCTATTTTCAAAGTGTTCAGATATTGTAATAAAGGTTAAGGTTACAAAAGGGCCAAGTTGTTGTGTCCATGTGTGCCTGTTGACTACATGTTCTCTCTGCAGTAAGCATGTTTTGACATGCTTGCTGTAAAGAGAACTTGTAGTCAGTGGTAAAAGACAGAATCATGACCTAAGTTTGAGTTTTCTTAATACAGGGTGCATGCTAAATTTGAGGTTCATTTTATGCTGGTTTCACTGTACACACTGATCCAGATATTGTAATAAATGTTTAGAGTTACAGAAGGGCCAAATTTTCTTGTCCATGTGTGCTGCTGACTAACATGCATACTGCTAAGAGAACTTTTAGTCAGCAGTTAATGACAGAATCACAACCTAAGTTAGGGTTACAAAAGGGCTAAGTTTCTTTGTCCATGTGTGCTTAAAAGACATGCCTGCAGACTATTAACATGCTTTCTGTGAAGAGAACTTGTAGTCAGAAGACAGTACAATTCTAGAAGACAGAATCGTGACCTGAGTTTGAGTTCTCCTCATGATGACTTCAACACGGACAAAGTGGGTAATTCTGTGAACCCCACTCAAGTGGGGTTCGTGCATATGTATGAGCACTGTTACTCAGTAACGCATGACGTATTTTACGTCATGTTCCACTGGGAGTCTTAGATGGAAGCTGTGTAGTAAAACTTGTTTGGATGCTGTCAGAGAAACTAGGATAGATCGAGAAATTCAAAGTGAACTTTGTTAAATTGATTATTTATTTTGTAGCTGGTGTTTTGACCATAATTTGGAAAGCTTTGTTTGCTAAGTGGATAAAGATAAAGCAGATGTAGTTTAGAAAATGGTTTTTAACTTTGAAATTCTTAAAGATTTTGTCTTTGAATGATTATGCAAATTCAAGTTTGAATTTGAAGCAAACCGTAATTTGAGCTTTTTGTTTACACAAGTTTGGGTGATATTTAAAAGTAAAAGCTGGTCTTCTTTAAGTGAAGACATTGTTCACTGAAGGGAAAGGTTTCTTCGCTTTCTTTTCCGATCCAGCAATGTTTGATCCCTGATCTCTTGTGGATCACAAATGCGGCGATTCCACTCTGCATTCCAGCTGTCAAAGGACAGAATCATTGTCTACTTCTTCAACAGCGCATGAACACCAAACTCCTCCTTCATTGACTGCTTCAGCTTTGAAGCCCACAGTTTGTGGAAGCGCCGTCATGTTTTTAGTTAACTGTGCATTTAACTCATGCGATCAAAACAGGTTTGCAATCAATAAAGCTGGCCGATTTGTTTTGATGAATCTGCAAGCAGTTGCTAGGATACTAAGTGGTGTCCAGTATCCCTGGGTAATTTTAGCATCTCATTGCACATGTGTTCATTAAAACCAGAATTATTAATTAATTACACACTTTGTCCATGTTGAAGTTGTAATGTAATACGGGTGCATGCTCAATTTGGGGTTTATCTTATGCTGGTTTAACTGCACACACTGATCCTTTTTGTATCCACTTGCAGGCATGACATGGAGAGAACTATCAGCTCAGCATCATCTTCAGTTCCATTCTGTTTGTCTAGAAATGGTGACTGTGTTAATGTCATGGAACCGCTGTCAGCTGAACAACTTACCCTCAAAGTTATTCATGACAAGTTTGAACCAGTCAGTAGCTCGGTGGCAGAGTCCTTAGTACAGTGGGCCAGTGGTGACAAGACCAAAGGCTTCCAGACAATTGAACAGATGTTACCAGTTGGTACGACTCTCACTGGAATTGGAGAAATCACACTTACTGATGATGGCATCAAGATAGGACCCCCAAAATCTGGTCTGACTTATTATCTATCTCAATTCACATTAGATGCTATTGTGAGACAGCTGCAGTCAGGAAAGAAGGTTTGGAAAATCTTGAGTGCCATCTTTGCCTTTGGAAGTGGCATATTGTTCTTGGTGTCCCTGTTTCTTTATTTCAAGAGACGGCGTGACAGGGAAGTGGAACTGGACTTGATGCGGAGAATGCGAGAGGAGGTGAATGTTTTGGGTGAGGGTGAAGTATTAGATCAGCAAGAAGCCTGTGTTATTTGCATGGACAGACAGCGCAATGTTGTTATTTTAGACTGTGGCCATATTTGTTGCTGTATAGACTGTGCTCAACGGGTCAACAACTGCCCTGTGTGTCGCCGTGTTATTGCAAGGTTGATTCCCACATTCAATAGTTGAAACTGAAAGTTCTTGTCTCTACTAAGTTATTGTGATATCAAACTGAGAGTTAGTGTTAATTCACATGGATCACATGTAGGTTTAATGGTTCCAAACTCTGCTAAAATTTCCAGCACCAACCTTTAAATCACTTTCAATGGCCTTGTATTTGGCAAAACTATGGAACAAGTTTTAACCAGAAGTTTGCAGAGACTAGAAAAATCTGTATGTAGCATGTATATTGTATGTAGTACACTTCATTGTTTTCAGTGAATTTTTTTCTTTGTTTAATTTTTTTTCAAACCAGTTTGTCTTGTATTTGATATGCTATTCTGAGAAAGGGAAAGTAAGAAACAAACTGGTTTGAAACATCTTAGAAAAAGAAAAAAAAATGTTCAACTGCTAAGTATGCTGTTATGTTTAGAATGTTAAGGCTGAAGTATTTGCGTAGAACTGAACGAGCAATGTGGGCTGTGTAACAATAATTTAGGTGTGAAAGAAATTAATAATGGAAAAGAAATAATTTAGTGGTAGTTGGAGTAAACTGACATTAGGAATTTGAACACTATGTTGATCAAAGGCTCTACATTTCATTGGTTTTTGTAGTGGTTCAAAGTGGTAGAATTGCTTTTGTTCAGTTTATTTCCTACATTTACTTGGAGTCAAGTTGTATTGTATACTAATAAAAAGAACAAAGTTAATGATTTTAGGAATATGTCCTTGCAGCTGGTTTGAAACAAGACTTGTCATATTTTCTCCCACATGAATGGCCCTATATTCCTGTGTTTCTCTTCTCACATACACCAACACTCTGATGTAAAGAACTAGGCAATGTCAAATTTGTTGTGTTTGTCATCTAACAGAGGGTAACTTACACCAAGATTTTAGGGCCCTTTTCTATTGAGTGTTACAAAACTAAAACAAGACTAATCATAAGAATTCTAATGGTTTAGCATCTGGGAAAAATCTTTTTGTTTCTCAAAAGGATCTTCTTGGAGCTAGGTAGGTGCTCATACTCTTTAGGGAAAAATCGTAAACCTGGATGCCTTAAGGTAACGTGTAGCATTTCTGTTTGTAGCCAATTCTAAAATCCCTATGATTCACTGAAGTATTGCCCTCTCTGAGGGCAATACTTTGCTTTAGACAGACAGTCTCCTGTGGTGTGCCCCAAGGGTCAGTGCTTGGACCACTTTTATTCCTAATCTATGTAAATGATTTTCATAATTGTTCAGCGCTTCCAGATTTCCATCTTTTTTCAGATGTTGCAAATTTATTCTTTCAGCATAGGGACATTAAGATGCTTGAAAGTTTGATTAATTCTGAACTAGAGAAAGTTCTTCTTGCTATGTGCAAATAAGCTTTCATTAAATATTGATAAGTCAAACTTTGTTATTTCCATCCAATTCAAAGAAAATTGCCCAAACAGGCATGTTATCTATAAACAATCAGATGTTGACCCAGGAAACTTCCATTAGATACCTTGGAGTTTACATAGATTACAATATTAGTTGGAAGATGCACATTACTAATATTTCTAAAAAAATCAAGAGAAGTATAGGCATTCTTTCTAAACTAAGTTATTTCTTAAGTACTAAAACACTACTTAGCCTGTACTATGCTCTGGTTGAGCCTTTTCTCAACTACTGCATAATTGCTTGGGGTAATACCTATCAAACAACTTTGCAACCTTTGTTTATATTAAAGAAGAAAGCCTTAAGAATAATCACCTCTAGTTATAACGAACATTCAAGTCCTTTATTTAAGGATCTAAATGTTGTAAAGTTGTTTGACATCATAACCTTTCAACTTGCAGTATTTATGTACAAGTTTCATAATAATCTTTTACCTCCTGTTTTTGATCCTTCCTTTAATTCTGTTAGGATGATACATAATTATAATAACAGATTATCTAGTAAAATGTCCTATGCTATTCCAAAAGTCAGAACAAATTATGGAATTTTCAATATAAGATTTCAGGGTTCTAAAGTCTGGAATGATATAAGTGATCACATAAAGCTTCTTCCTTTGAAAAGTTTTAAGAAAAACCTTAAGCTAATCCTTATTGAAAAATACTAATAATTTCTGTAGCCTTCTGTTGTTCTTTACTCTGATTTTCACAGCATTTTTGATCTTGTTTGTATGACCTTGAATGTGCATGTCTTTGTGTGTGTGTATGTTATGTCTGTGTGTGTGTGTATGTTATGTCTGTGTGTGTGTATGTTATGTCTGTGTGTGTTTGGGTATGTTATATCTGACCTAAATCATTGTATTAGATAAATTGCCTAAGTATAGCTGCCCTTTTCTTCTAGCCCTTATGGTTATTTGGGGCACCTAGTACTCCTCTACATCTTTTATTGATATATTCTGTTTACCGTAATTTCCGGTCGATTACCCGCGGGTAATCTGTTGATTTTGCATTAAATCCGCGCCACTGCGGGTAATAGGGAGGTGCGGGTTATGTGACAATTTTAAATTCTTCTGGAAGTTGAATTGAAAAAATTTCTCACCTACCTGCGTTTCCACCTCTCAAATGAATTTTATTGTATCAAAAGTGCCACAAAGCGGCACGAAAACATGATGCCAACTCGAGTTTATTTCACGCATAATTAGTTGCGTGACAAACAAATTTTTATCGGCACGCGTGAAAACAAAACCTTGATGGTGACAAAAATAATCCAAGGATATCCGGCGCATCAGTAACAAATTTCCAGTTTTCACTAGCTTGAGCTAAAGAGAATTTTCCCGTTTTAAGGGACTTGTTAGGCCCAGTAGAACAGGAGATATCGATTTTTTTGAGAAATTGCCGACAGTAATTTTAAATCCCAAATGCATCACCAGAATGTTGAAAATAATAGGTGCGAAACTTAACTAATTTCGCGCTGAAAAAGTATTTTAACGACAAATGAACAATGGATATTGCTCATTACGCTCCTACATGCTATAAAAAGGTAACTGACTGAATAAGAATTAGAAACCTCGATCATTCGCGATAAGTGGTATAATCCGTTATTTTTTTCGCCGTATGAATAAATTGTTGTTGTTGTTAGTGTAATCGAAAAATTTCTCAATTTTATTGTATTTTACGGTCGAATAAATTGTTGTTGTCTTTTTAGTATCTGTTTCTTTACAGTCGAAATTTGATCGTTTTAGTATTTTCGGGCGGTTGACATGACATAACCAAAATCTCGGGCAATATGACTTTGGGCGAGATGACTACCCTCCGACGTAGTTTTACCGCTTCAATAGACATTTTAGGTCATCTACATGACATAGATGGCATTGGTCAGCGGCTGCAGAGAAGTAATGTTTATGATAGGCGATAAGCACGATAGGCACGCTAGATATTCTGAACATAGCACGAATATGTGTCGAAAAAATCTCCATGAGATGTAGTGGATTTTCAGGAAAACTGAAGTGCAGTTAACTCTTTGTGAGGCCGCCCCAAATGGTGCGAAAATATGCCGAAGACGTACGATGTTCGCGTGACAACTCTCGATGCAGAGTTAGAGTTTTCTGTCGAGGTTGATATGTTGACAACATTTTGAAGTTTACATGAGATCTATTAAATCTAAATTTGCTTCATTCTCTGTTAAAACTGTTCCTTTGTAAACGTATGTATTTTTTCGTCTGTATTTCCTTTAGAGGAACTGCACTGGAAAGGATCTGTTTGATCTGGTTGTGCGAACATTAGGCGTGCGAGAAACTTGGTATTTCGGTTTGCAGTTTGTAGACAAGAAAGACATCGTTACATGGTTAAAATTCAACAAGAAGGTAAGTGTGGATAAAGTAAACAATTGTTGGCCTAAAGGCGATTTGGTTGATCGAAACTGAATAGATTTCACTTAATTCTCAGTCGCAGTTCATCAACTTTCGCCCTGGTGTACACATAAAGATAGCGAGTAACTTACGGTTAATATTTATCTTCTATCGACTGCTCATCAACTCATAGAAACTTCCCACGCTCGCGTTCAATTAGTACAGATCTGACGGGTTGAGTCACACCCTGAGTCTTTAAAACCATTAGTTGTTTTTTAATTGTGTAACTTGATATTCGCACTTTCTTACTCCCTTCTTTCGATGCAGTTCATTTAGTAATGAAAATCATTGTGAGGCTTGCAGCGCTCGATAACATGTAATTTGATGATGAAGTGACTGCTTTCAAATTAGTGGCTAGTCGCTCGACCGATTTCATGCTGATTTAATGACATATCAAAGAGCCATATTTAAAGCCGTTTTGAATTGAGTTTAGATTTTTAGAACGATCTCAAGAGACAGAGCTTGGGCTTAAACTAGGACTAAGTGATTCCATGTACACTGCAGGTGGCCGTCACTTATGTTTATTTTTTATTGTGTTTATCTTGTTCGAACGAGCACTTTCCACTCCTGCCCCCTGAATGGAACAAAGCCCAACTTCTGCCAACCGCCATTCTAAACTGTATTTTTTTTAAGCATAATTCAACCGACTAAATGAAATTATTTTAAGAAAATGAGAATTATGTGATGAAGCCTTAGATGTGTTTGGATGCATTTAAAGTAGAATTTAATTAATTTTCATACATATGGTTTTACTTTTAGAAGGAAATTACTTCCTCTTCTGACTTGAATATTTGAAAGTAGTTTTTTGTCATAAACATGTCAGTCAAAAGTCTAATAAAACTATTTGTATGTCAATGTAGTATTTGGCTTAACTTAGATTATTAATTAAAGCATTTCAATCTGGGTTGAAAACTCCTGCCCTTATTCTCAAAGTTCTAATTTTGTTTTTCAATCAAATGCAGCATGCAAATTGTTATGACTTCATTTCAAAAAGACATCTGAGTTGTTTTAACTATGATTTATTGTCTAGACATTTTGCCACGACACAAAATCTTGTCCTACATTCTAAGTCAGCTATGTTTGCACATGGCAAAACTGAACTCATAAGCAAGTGATGTCACTATCTCTTTGAAGCCAACCTTTGTGACTATAATTTACAATGACAGATTCTTAAAATGAGAAACAGTGTTTGATAATAGGGAGACCTTTTTTAAAACTGATGTGACTTAACTGGTGTGATGCACTTTTAAAATACTTTTAAATTGTTTATTCATCTCAAAAGGTTTTAGATCAAGATATTCCAGTGGTGAAGGATGAACCAGTCAGCCTTAATTTTCGCATTAAGTTCTTCCCTGAGGATGTGGCAGAAGAGCTGATGCAAGAAATCACTCAGCACTTGTTTTTCTTACAAGTGAAAGAGGCCATTCTAAATATGGACATTTTCTGTCCCCCAGAGGCTTCTGTTCTGCTGGCTTCATATGCTGTGCAGGCTAAGGTAATGATTTACCTTCACCCACTTATAGAAATATTACTGTGGGATTGTGGCATTTAAATTTCTCCAACCACTGTTTATAATGTAGTTTGAAAATACATTATTGAAGGATATGGAAAGAGTAAATAAAAAAATTTTTCAGAAAATGAAAAAATCTTTTTACTTCCCATAATTTTAAGGACACTGGCTGTGACTGTGATTTTGTCATGTTTAAGAGTAGCTTATTGTTTAGAATGTTGACATGGTAATTAATACAACTTTTTCTTCCAGTATGGGGATTATGACAAAGAGTTCCACACACCAGGATTTCTGGCAAAAGATTTGCTGCTACCACAGAGGGTTGGTACAAATATGTCTCTTTTTGACAGGAATGGGGAGGTTTGGCCTTATGGTCAGGACAATGGATGTATAATCTGGAATTCTAGTCCTAAAAATAATTATACTCATCAAATATAACTACTGTACTAGTGCACCCAATTCACATATGACTACTCCTGTAATTTCTTTGACTTTCAAATTAAGTGACTTTCTTGTAAGTGATTAGTTTTTCTTAAACATTGGGCTTTTGTGGGAATTTTGGATTATGAGAACTATTTTTTTGAGTCTTGTAAACTGTTTGTGTATAGATAGGATTAAATAGTACCTGCCTAAGAACCTGCAATAATTGAAAGTTGCTTGTAAAAGATACTTCATGGTCTAGGTGACACCTTAATCATTTTCCTCTTTTACTCTCAGGTTATTGACCAATATCAGATGACCTCAGACATGTGGGAAGAGAGAATCACCTCATGGTATGCTGAACACAAAGGAATGAGAAGGTATGTTCAATCTGATCTCAGACTTTAATCAGAAATTGGCTTTGGCAAGTTGTCTTAAACTGATTTTGCTTGTTCACTCACTCATGCTTGCCTAGTCAATCCAAGGGCAGAAAAGAAAAATTATTGCTCTGGAAGACATATAAATTGTCAAAGGTTGCCAGCAAAACCTGAGATTGGGAGCTCATTAAAGAGCAATGCATACTAAGGGTGTGGAGAGAAAAATATTTTAAAAAGGGACTAAGGTGCATTCATGAAGGGGAGGGGGGGGGGGGAAATGAAAGTCACAATCAGAAAGACTGGAAGTGTATCATCATGATACTAGGTGGATGAAGTTACCTTTCTCATATTTAATTTATGTGATTAGAGACGAAGCTGAGATGGAATACCTAAAGATTGCACAAGATCTTGAGATGTATGGTGTAAGCTATTTTGAAATTAAGGTAAGCCTGTAAATAAATTATTTAGTTAGATATCAATGTTATTAGGCTATGGTATTGAAGGACAGGAGTATTAACTGTAACTTGATGCAACATTTTTATGATTATTTGAGTAGTGAGTGACTTAAGCAAAATGGTAAGAGATTGGAGAGAGGAATCTCTTGTGGCCTCATTGTATTGTATGTCTCTTGTTCATATCATGGCTTCTTCTGGCTTCTGCTGCAATTCTGAATCGATAGCTTAGTCACAATTCATAGGTGAAGAATGTTTTGGTATAAATGATGGGTTATTGTGTTGGAAACTGAATTCATTTCAAGATCTTTTTTCGTTGGTTTGCTGTGTTCTTGGGTAGGACTCTCTACACCCAGGAGTAAGACTGGGCACCAACCAGCTGCCAGGAATATTTAATTAGATGTTGAGGGAGGGGGAAACTTCTTTGAACCATAATTGCATTCATGGTCCTCACTCCATGGGGAGTACCTGTACTTTTATTGGCTTTAATTTTGCCAGGATGAGCATCTGCAGTATTAGCAAGTCAACTTGTGTTCAGACCATAACTTTTTCAGAGATTTAAAGTTTGTTTTGAAATTTGAGCAGCTTTTTTTTCCTCTCTCTCATTGCAGAACAGAAAAGGAACTGAACTGTGGCTTGGTATTGATGCACACTGCCTCAACATTTACGAAAAAGAAAATAAGCTCAACCCTAAAATTTCCTTCCCATGGAATGAGACAAAGAATATCTCCTTTCATGACAAAAGGGTAAATCCTTCTTATTTGTAATTATTATATTGAACTTGAGCAATAACCATAGCTTCCACCAAATACTGAATCTTGGACTTAAATAACATATATCTTGGGTCCCAATAAACACATCTAGAACCTCGTGAGTTTATTTCAACATCTCTGCTATGTTACCTTTATTACAGGGAGAGTAATTTTATTAGTAGACATTCGTTAGGATTAGAAATTTATCTAAAATACCCTGAAAAAACTTTGCTATTCTGCACAAAAGAGTTTAAATAGAGCTAAATTTTTTTCCAGTTTCAGATCAAACCAGCTGATAAGTCTTCACCAGATTTCATTTTCCACGCAGCAAAACTAAGAGTTAACAGAGTGGTACGTTCAAGCATGAATTACATTCAAACTGTACTTAGTATTTTTTAACAAAACTGTAAACAAACTGATTGCAATTCCCCTGAATGCAGATTCTTGACTTGTGTGTGGGTAACCATGAACTTTTCACGCGAAGGAGAAAGCCTGATACGATGGAGATACAACAGATGAGGTCACTGGCCAAAGAAGAGAAAATGAGAAGACAGGTTGGTATGACAACTGTCTTAGTGAGACATGTTTGTTTTTCAGCGAGTCGTTGTCAACCTCAATTTTCTTACCGAGGGCCTTCCCTATCCTAGTGAAAAACTAAGAAGAGGAACGGATTTATTCCCAGACAACCAGGCGCATTTTTTATTTGTATGGTGTTTGGCTAGCATGCCGGCTTGCCTCTTTTTTCAGCGATTCAACCTGCTAGTTGAATGGTCGCGGAAAAGAAAATAAACTTTCCCTTTTTCTCTGAATTTGTGTTTGTATTGATAGATAGAGAGAGACAAGCTCATGAAAGAACAGCAAGCACGTGAAGAAATGGCGCAACAAAAGGAAGAATTGGAGAAAAGATTGACTGAATTTCAAGATGAAGCAAATCGATCTAAAGAAGCTTTGGTAAATATTTTTAACCTACAAAGTTGAAAATCTCAAAGCTGTTGTCGACTCACCTCCGAAACTGAACTGTTGAAACGAACTTGAATCATGCGACCGATGTGGACCCTTCTCTGAAATAGGGAACGGGAGTCACAAAAATGACTCTTCGGGAAAACTCATCCATCCTAGTCGCGTTTGGATCTAGTTTTGCCTCTTGTGTCCAACATACTTCTAAGACCAGCAAATGTCGGAAGCGTCTGTCTTGATAGAGCAAGAGAAATGGCCGCAAATTTACCAGATTTTCTTTATCTGTTTCAGATTAAGTCTGAGGAAATGGGGGAATTGTTAGCAGAGAAAGCCAGAGTCGCGGAGGAAGAAGCGGCGCTGCTCGGGAAGAAAGCTTCTGACGCTGAAGAAGAAATAAAAAGACTCAGATTATGCGTTAGTAAGGTACAGGGAAGGCCTTTCCTTCAGTTAGCGGGAAAATACAAATGCCATGTAGTTTCCTGTCTTTTTTTTTGCGGCCATCCCAGACGATCGAGCAATCCCCGATTGTCACTCAATATTTCTGACACATCAGAACTAACCTTAACACAGAGGTGTTTTTATCTACAGTCAGGAGACGAGCGAATCGCTATTGAAAGAAGAGCTCGTGAAGTCGCTGAAGAAAGACTGAGACGAGTCATGCAAGAGGCCGAAGCCAGGTTAGGCTCACGTGATTAACCATCTTTTCCTGATGGAGCAATTATCAAGTCAGTGTCGAGGGTCATTGAATGAGATTTAAGTACTTTAAAGGTCACTAAAGATGTCAAAAGCCGTGGTATTGTTTCCTTGCAAGTCTTATGGTCGTTTTGCTTTCCCGTAGAGCGAGGGAAGCTTTGATGCTGAGAGAAGATTTAATGAAGTCCAGACAAGCTGAGAGGCTAGCTAAACAAAAGCTGATGGAAATGACTTCGTCTCCTGATTTTTTCTCTGTAAGTGGAAGAAAGCTTGTTGTGTTTGGATGCATTCATAATCCTGTTTTACCCTCCCTAAGGCCTTTTCAGAGTCAGGGCGCGGTGGTCCAAGTATTAGCTCGCTAAAACTTCGATCAAGAGGGGTGGGTCCAAGTCTCAGCTGGGTCTGCGTGTTATATTCTTTCACCGTGTCTCTCTCCACCCATCCACCCAGGAGAGACAAATAGTTACCATCAAATATTATCATGGAAACCTGAAGAATTGCTGTGATATTGACCAGCATCCCATTCAGAGTGAGTGTCGATACCCTAGTCGCCTCGTGATATGGAAACCGGGTTCAGCTTCGTTAGGAATGGGTTTAAGTTCCTAAGACATCTTAAATTCTGCTTTGATTTGCTGCCAGTGCTGACAGCATATTTTCCTCTATTTGCGCAAATCTTGTTTTCAGTTGTGTAACATTAGTGCTGTATTTTTCAGAGGTACGGGGATCCAAGGGAAATAATAGCCGACATTGACCGCAGTGTTGAGCAGTTAACAGATGGCGAGGTTTCTCAGCTTTCACAAGATTACGAGAGAGAGAGGTAATCGTTAATTTTGTTATCTCTTGAAATGAGCGTTATTTTTTCATAAGCCCAGTACCAGTGTATATTCATTTTTAAGGTGGATCGCGGATGCTTTTAGTGTGCTGCTTTGAAGAATTAGTATCACGACTTCTATGAAGAAAGAGTACATAATTTTATAGATATATGTACGATTGGTTTGAAGGAACTTTCCAAACTCTTATTAACGTGTTCTTCTCCTTTCATACTAACTTCTTAAGAATGGCATTCTTCAGAAACAAGTCGTCGCCGTAGTCACTTATGATCATTGATTAGGAACCAAAAGTATTTTGAGAAGATATTTCTTGAGAGAATTACTCACTCAATTGTTTGAGTGTTAGTAAACAACTATAATATTTAGTATGGTGAAATTCCTTTTTATTTTTCTTTCCCAGAAACAGAAATATACAGCAGCAGTTAAGAGATCTCAAATCACAAATGGAGGTACTGAAGGTTTTACTTACATTCCATCAACTCATTAATTTAAGCTGAATGCCACACTTCCTAGAAAGTTTGATCGTGTAGTCTGGTCGTCGTCCGGGTTAAAGTAACCACGAGAAGGATTGTTTTCGGTAGCAGTGACTGACTTTGGCTGGTACTTATGAGTTTAATTGCGCCTGTATAGTTTGTCCGCAGACGTTAGAACAATTATTGCGAGGTTATCCTGCGTGGCAGGACACTTTAGCCTGACGGCGGAGACGCGCACTCCACTTCGTGTTAGCAGCACTGCTCTGCTTAACTCAGTCACAGCTACTTTTCTGAGATGTTGCAAAGTGGCCCGCCCGTGATTGTATTTGTAACTTGTAACAAATCTTTTCCAGGGACTTAAGATCGATGACAGACAAACACGCTGGGATTACATTCATGATGAAAACATGAGACGCGGGGAAGATAAATATTCTACCTTACAAAAGGTAATGCCAACGTTTGAGCGCTTTTCGATTGTAAGACATAAAAGCGAAAACGCATGTTAACCGCTATGGCCAATCAGAAAATAGAAAAGTATCCCAAGGAGCCAGTGAGAACTCAAAATAAGTTCAAGCAAACTACCTTAAACACTGGAAAGCACAAGCGACTGTTCATAACTAATTTGCGTTTTGCGTCTGATCGGTTGCGAACGTGGTGTGGGTTTTCTCGACCAATCACGTAGCCTGGTAAAGCAGAATCAATGCAATGCCAGATAACTCTTGACATTCAGTTGATCACTGCCCCATAGTGACGAAGTTTTGTGCCTGTGCGAATTAAAAGTGAAGTCGTATCTTTATTGTTGTAACCCTGTTAATTCTACCACCTTCGTATGGCTCGACGTTTGCCTCAATAATGGAATTAAACTTCTGGTGTTCTTATGGGTTTATAATATAGATAGATTTCTGTCGGTATTGTATACTTTAAAAACTTGTCACCTTCCTTATAAAACTTGAACAACGTTGATTGCTGACAATGAAATGATTTCAATTGTTCGTTATTCAAAGCGGTTCAATAGAAGAAATCTGTCGAAGAGAAGCCCCCTCATTAACTTCAATACGTTAACCCTTAAACTCCCAGATCAAATTTGTATTTCTCCTTACTGTCAACCATACAATTCTTATGTTGGTTCAGAGAATTTTGTATTTAATTAACTAACTATCCCCAAATTGATATTTTCTTTGTTCTTATCACTTATCTGGTTGATATTGTATTTATATTGTAAGGAGAAATTCTATCTTGGTCACTCATGGGAGTTAAAGGATTAATTGCGCTCCTAAAGCAGTTATCATGTCGCTGTTGTGTGGTTGTTTTACTTTAACATCATTGACTATCTCCATTTTTTTTTTTTCTTGTGCGTGTGCCAGATTCAAACAGGAACTTCTACAGCAAGGATTCAATTTTTTGAAGAGTTATGATAGAGCATCTTTGAAGAAAAAAGACTTTTTCCTAGTATTTAATTCATTATGCGTTACTGAGATATTTAATACAGATTGTACAAGTTCATTCATCGTTCTCCACGGTGAGTGAGGCTCCTAACAGAAGTCGTTATGAACAAAGGATATTTTTTTATTTTAGTAAAACTAGCGCTTTTTGTTGGTAATTTTATGAATGGTTCCCTGCAAGATGAAATCTGTTTAAAATCTGTAACACCATGCAATCTGATTTACAGTGTCACCAACGTTTGCATTAGGTTATAAATTTTGTGTAAATTTGCTTAGCTCTTTCAAAGAAAATTCAAATGGAGATAGCCCTGCAGGCAATGGCAACCAATTAATCATATTTTGGGAAAAAGAGCTCAAATTTTGTTGGGCTGTATGCAATAGAGATAGATACGTATGGGTTTTTAATGGGCGGGGGGGGGGGGATAGCTGCCTAGATTCTAAGCCCGCCTTAGTACGTTATATATGTTGTATCTACTGACTGCTTAGAGCATTGGTTTGTAATACTTGCATTAACTTAGAAAGACGTTAAAAACGGCATATCTTGAGTATATTTCAAGAAAGTGCAATAGCCATTCAAGTAATAGTTTGCCGGGATATTGATTAATTTATTTGAAATGGTATACGTAAAAGGCACGACAACTTGCCTGTCACAGATAGTAATCCCGTTAGTGGGTTTCTTTACACTTCTCAAGTAAACCTAGTAAAATTAAACGTTCAATGTATTTCAGTCGTAGATTAGGTTTTAGCTACTCAGGTTACTTTCCAAGTAGGATCGCCTGTCCCCATTAGTGTGTCAATCGAGATTCGAAAAAATAAGATCGAAGACTATGGACGGCTGCGTTATATTTCCCAATCAGTTTTCGGCATGGCATGTGTATCCCTTTGTAATTTCACTTTTCGGTGGATAACGGACAACTAAGTTACAATTAGTCTCCGCTCCTTGTAGCATGAATGAATTTAGGGTGAATCGGATTGACATCATCCCAACGCTTTAGCTATATGAATCTATGTGAAATAGATTTAACTGAATATTTATAGTAGTATTAATAGCACATTAGGGTCGGTAAAAAGCTATCTTTATTTCAAAAGGCGAGTGAACTTACTGGCCGGGGGAGGAGAGTAAGAAAGGGTCTCGTCCCAGATTTCCATGATACGACGTGATAGCTTTCTCCGCATTCACCAACAACATCCTGAAATAAAACAAGTGAAAACATGGAAGCGTACTGCTATTACCTTGTCAATACACTTGTCGAGCAAATGTTTCTTGAATTTTTCTTGTAAAGAAAGGAAAACGAATTTAATTTTCGTCTTTACGGAAAAGGTTAGACCCAGAATTTCGCCAGGAACCACAACGGGATTGCGCTGAGGTTCCCCCCGGAACCATGCCGGAAACCCACCCGGTATCGCGCCGGGATATAACCAGCATTGTGCCGGATTCCCCTGCCCGTCAACTCCTTGCAAGCATTCGAAAATGATTGGAATTTAACTGAATCAGGACGTGTTCTCAATATTGCCCGATCAACTGCGCTGGCAGAATTTCCAAGACCTTGCCTTCCTAAACCTTACCCTTGAGTATGATGTGCTCACTTGAGAGGGAGGGCACATGGACCAAGATACAGCAATTTGTTCATGTGAACACTTATGCTGGGTGAAAACTTGAAATTTTTTGTGAAGTTCATTTTGGTAACTAAACCGAAATGTCTTACCTGAACATATATAGAGAGGACTGCCTTTCCTGCACTGCCGTGAGGGAATAGGTTGTACTCGTCTCCAGTGCCTCATCTGATTTAAACATGGCGGATGTATCTGTGTTGTTACTAGCTCTTTAGAAATATTTTACTTTATTTTCATTAACAGAGCGATTTATAGCCTCTTATATATAAGCAATGGATGATACTGTTAGTAAGTACAATTTTTGCTTAATTCAGTGTATTGCAGTTTATTCTACTTAGAAAAGGAAACATCCTAAAACTATGTAGAGGGTGCGCGAACTTGACAACAAATATAGTCTGACGACCAAGACGCTCATATTACCGACTGCACTGTGCCAAAACAAGCTCAAGAAATGAAGCAACCTCTTTTTCTGAACTACCGTATATTAATTATTGCGTATGCGCTGCAAGATGTCATCACCCTTTCATCCCAAAGATTTCAACACAGTTTGACATGCAGGTCTCATGATTTCAGTTCTGTGAATGTAGTGATCAATCAAACCATGACCCTAATTTGATGCTTTGCTAACCTTATCAAATGTTTTCTTGACAATGTGCAGATATTTTGTGGAGAAATTTCATATTGATCATACACAGGATTAAAAGGATTAACAGTAAAAAGAGTTAGGAAATTTAAGGATCAAACATGGCCCAGGAACGACATGAACCTTACTGTCTTGTCATGCCTGTTATGTAATAATGTTTTTATTACTCTGCCTGATCTTGTAGCTAATGCATTCTGGTTGTGCATTGTGTCTCTATTATGGGGCTCCACAAATCCTCTTATAAGACAAGGAAGTAAAGGAATAGAGGATATTCACAGACCGAGTCGCATTGGTCAGTTTTTTGCAGAAGTGCTTTTTCTTGTATCCAACTGGAGGGTGAGATATTTTTCATAACTGAATTGTGATATTTAAATAGAAGAAGGTAAACAGAAGGTAGCAGTTGATTTCTCAATCTTTGTTTGGCTTAGTTGAGGATGTCTTCATATTAAATACATAGATTCCATGCATACACAGAGGTACACTGTATCCCCTAGAAATATTAAGCCCCCGATCCTTCCAAAAAAAATACATATACATCTATTTTAATTTACAAATCCAATTATTTTTATTTGATCACTGGCACTACCCACTCACCAATCAATCCTTCAATCAATGCCTGCCTGTGTGTATTACACAAAGACACATGCTCTTCTCTCTACTCATTAGGCATTTTCCCCCTTTGAAGTTCAAAATGATGGTCATGAATTACTTTTCTAAGTTATAGCTATGTCAGGCTCACTGATAAATGGTCTGGTGGATTTTTTCCTCTACAGTATTTGATTCCCTTTTTGTTAAACCAGTGTGGGTCAGTGGTTTATTACCTGACACTTGCATCTGCAGGTTTGTAATTAGCAACAAGTTTTGTTTGTTGTTGTTTTTTTTAATCTTATATACTTCTGAAGAACCATACTATATTCATTAGTATTTGTTATTACCAGTTATTGATGCCATTCATTTTCCAGATTTGTCTGTTGCTGTGCCAATTACTAACTCTTTGACTATGATCATCACAACATTGACTGGGAAGCTTTTAGGTGAAGACAACATTAATGCAGGTATTGATAATAACGAAGTCCCTTGTAAGACAAAATACAACTCAACAAAACTCAATGAAAGATGCACAGTTAAAAAAATAATAATAATAAACAGCTTTTGTGATAGTTTATGGCCACACATGGGAACTCCATGGTTGCTTTTATGGGAGAATAGGTGGTTTGGTGGCTGGGATGCCAGACTCCAAGTGGAGAGAGCTCTGGTCTAAAGCCTTGGATAGGAATAGGAATAGAAAAAGGTTAAAAGAAAATTGACAGGAGAAGTGAATCCTGACAAAATGGGAGAGCAGGGTACCTATAGTGGACTGACATCCTGATCAGGAGTAGCAACAATACTCCAAGTTGCTGGATGGTAGAGAAATCTTGAGAAGCTGTAGCTGCTATGCTATTCAGTTGCCCTAAAATATTTTTATATTTTGATGAATGCAAGAGTTCGAAAGTGCAAAATCTTATTTTTTCATGATGCATGCTTTGGATCAAGTTCTTAAGAATGCTGTTTTATTTGCAGGAACATTTCTTGGAATGATGCTCGTTGTATCTGGGGTGAGCATTTGTGTTATGGATAAAACACTATGAATCAACATAACAATCCAAAAACTAGAAGATTATCCTCTCAAAATGGAGGTAGTTGGGGATAATCAGAGCACATGCTGTCAAAACATACGCGCTGGTAATGGTAGTCAATCTTTGAAACTAGTTGTTTGTTTGCTCTGATCTGTACCTATGGACCAAGCAGTTGAGAGTACTAATCAAATTATCAGCAATATATATTTATTTGTAATTATGAGGTCAATAAGAGTTTTTTAAAATTATGCTGGTGTTTCTCTTATTTGGTGAATAGAAGTTAATCTTTCTCAAAAAAGGTACACTTAAAATCACAATTATGAAAATATCATTACTTTAGACTTACAAACACAAATGACAACATTTAGAAATGTGTAGAGTAAGTTTTACTAGTCATGTATTGTTTATCACAGGAATACAAACATGATTTCTATCGATAGACAAAAGAAAAAGCTTTCATTTAATAATTCCAATTTACTGCTGTTACTGTAGTCAGCTTTTTTCACTTTTGTGCCAATTGTCCAGTCCCTGTCAAGCAGTTTGTTTCTCAAGACACCTGTTGCCTTAGGAACCACCTGTGGGCTCTAGGTAAAGAAAAACCCAAAAAATTAATTTCATGAGAAATAGAGACTATTGTAGTAGTATCCTTTAAACATTTATTTGAGGCATAAAGCATGGCATTCTTGCACCTTGGACCAAATTCTAAAGTCTGTCATATTGCACTCTCATGAACAGGATATTATTCAAGGCAAGAAAAGTTTGACTGTAACGTGCAGTAGACGATCATTATTTGTATGTACAGTAGTTATGTGCAAATGTTTTGCTCTTGGCTGATAGGAAAAAAAGGAAAATTGCATTGTATGATCTTGAAGACTATTTGCACCCAGAAATGTGGCAATATCCATCACCTGCTCATAATTGTTTAACTCATAGCTCATGAGAAGGAAACACCTTCCAACAGTCATGGTTACAACAGCACTTACTCGTGTACAAAACAGGTTTGGAGCACACATTCTGGCATCCGTCAAAGCAGCACATTTTAGCCAGGGGGCAATCCTTGTCCGTCTTGCACTCGTTCTTTACAGGAGCAACACACTTGTCTGGTTTGGGCAGAGGTGGACACTTCAGGGGTTTACCTACAGAACAACAGTGATTTACACAGTCACGTAACGATGAAATAAATTCTATTTAGTCGTTTAACTCTTGCGTGAGAAGCGCGTGCAGCCCCTTACTCAAGAAAATATAATAATCTTTTGAGCTGAGATACAAAATTTTTTTTACATGAGCACAATCGCCCAACACCGAGTGGGTATTTCGGGTAAACAAAGGGTACTTTACTGTGACTTACTCCCGGTCTTTTCTAACTGCCGTTAGGCTTAATATTTGTATTAGGTCTACACGTACTCTTCCCTTGACAGTACAGCTATATAGGTTACCGTGCAGTACAGAGTTAAAATGGCAATGTTGCGCCAATCACCAAGAAAAAAACTATATGTACACCATTGAGGCCAAACAATTGAAAAACTTGATACCAGGCCTAGTAAGTCGTGGGAAATTGTTAACGACGATTAAATAGAGAACTAAACGTCAAGACGTCAAGAAATCTCGTTGAGCGTATGATCGTTTTTGCGTTAATTACTTTTATAGAAGTAAGCAAGTTCTGAAGGCATCTGGAACTCATGCATTTTTTTTGTGGGGTCTTATACACATAGGCACAAAAACACAACCGTAACCAGCCCTACATGTAAGTGAACCGTTAAGTGGCGCTAAACATCGATTCTTCGTTTTAATCAAAACTGCCCAAAAAATAAAGGTCTCACCGCAAGAATAAACAACAGACAAATGGTTGTTGGGTCCACGGCAAACACGGCTAAGGGCAGACTCGGCTTTGACTTCACATGTATTTTCCCAGCCACACAATCTCTCGATCTCCTTTGTCACGTTTTCGGAACAAGGCAAAGTGTCAGGGCTCTTGCTATCGACTTGGGCGATGAACTGTTTGTAAGGACAAATTGTTGGATCTCCAGTATCACCGTACTTTGCTTCGAAAATTATGAGCGATTTCAAAGGATCTTTGCAGGACATTCTCAGCGATTCTCCTTGGCAGGCATTGTCTGTGTTGACGGGTCCAAAACCTTCAATTTTTACTTCTGAAAATAAGTGAAATCTGGTCAAACAACTTAGGAAAATCTTAGTAGGTTGGCATAATGGTCAACATGTTTCAGACCACCAAGTTTTACTTCAGATTTCGAAGTAAACAGTGGTGTTCATTAAGCAGTCCTCCACTACAACAACAATCTTTTCATTCCTAAGAATTTCCAGCTTGAATCCAGGCTTTCACTTTACACAAGGAAAAAAAAGTTTTCTAGCGCAATCGCTAGAAAACTCCACAGGAAAAGTAGAGACTTAAACCTTGCTTTCCCGCTGACGTTGCGTTCTTCTTAACTTTTAGAAACTTCTTACTACTATTGTAGTTTTATAACGATGATGATAATATTGTATACATGGAAAAAAGTGCAACCTACCCCTGCATGTTTTGCCATTGCTATCCAGGAAAAACCCCAGATGACAGCTGCAACTGAAGGAACCATTTGTGTTCGAGCAAACTTGATCGCATCCACCGATGTTCGCGGTGCATTCATCGTCATCTGGTGAGTTAGATATGTAAGCGTTACTGATCATGCGTGAGGCCCAAATGGCTTCATGTTGGCCAAGTTTTTTTTTTTGCGTTTTTTAATCTTGTGGATCGAGTCGAATGTGAAATCCACGAAAACGCGAAAGAAAAAAAAAAACCAACCAATTTTAAAATAACTTTGATAATCGTAATGATCACCGAGAGGGAAAGTCATATCCATCCATCGTGACTAAGGAGGTGCAGCTCATAAATACTCACTGAGTGGCAGGAAGATTTCTAGATAGATTTTGCTTTTGAAGGACCAAAGCATGCTGTCTCGAACGGGTAAGGTGCACAGGTAACCATTTACTTTGCCAACCCAGGGAGCTAGCCATAATTACAAACCTTCACAGGTTTTCGAAACTTCGTTGAACTTATATCCAGGTTTGCATTGGCAAACATAGCTCCCGGGAGTGTTAACACATTGGGCCTCTCCACATTGCGGTTGCCTGTAACTATTACATTCGTCTATATCTGATTCAAAAGAAAAAAAACAAAGGCATGTCAAGGGAAAAGATGTTTACTGAAGGTCAAAGTTAACTGGATCCAATCTGACCTTAACATTATCCGCAAGGATTACGTTGACCCCGCAATTTAAGTGGATGTAGATTTCCCGCAGAATATTGTAACTGCTGAACAGTTTAATTTCTTAGTTCTTAAGCTAAATACGAAAGGTAAAAAGACTCAGTTTTGTAAGCTTAAATATGGAGTGGTTATTCGTGAGCACAATTTATCCGAGTCCAACCAACGTCTTTTAAAGTGTACTTCAAGAGTTGAACCTTCCAGACCAACAGTTAGATGATTATTTCTTAACATGAAAATAAACGGATTTGTGATGTTCGATAGGAAAACCATCGTCAAGAAATGAAGCTTATTGTATGGAATTAATTTCCTTACCCCGGCATGTCTTTTTGCCGTCTTTATAGCCTGATTGGTACCCTTTGGGACAGGTACAGTAATGGTAACCTATTTTGTTATGACAGACCCCAACACCACACCGGTTCGGAACTTCTTTGCACTCGTCAATATCTCGATGGAAAAGGAAAATAATATCAGAATTTGCCGGTCAAAACAGAGAGTGGATTCACAAATATCAGCATTAGTTAATAAGTTTTATTGCACGCCCTAATTTAACTCACAGGTCTCTCATTTTCTCTTGTAGAATATGGGTGGAGCAAAATTTTTGTAGCTAAGATTTGTCAATTTTACTCACCTCAGGGAAACTAAGCATTCAAAATTCCCAGAACGTTTAATATTGAACTTGGTACTAACAATGTCGAAGCTGTCATACACGGGGAAAATGAAATACCTTCAGCAATAAGACCTTCCAATGGTGTGTAAGTTATATTTATTGATTTAAATGACAGAACCCAACCTTCAATCACTCTTACAAGCAAGTATCAATAAACACCTACCGCGGCATTTGTTGTGCCTTAAGTCTTTCTTGTAACCACGCCAACAGACGCAAGTGGTAACATCGTGTGCAAGGTCCTTGCAACTTGACTTGCTTGTGTAAGGACACTTTTGTCGTCCCGCGAAGTAACAACTATTGACGCCTGTGAAAATATTGTAAGTTGGAAGAGAGTGTGGATCATTGAGACCTGGAGACGAAACGCAGTCGTATCTTCACAAACGCGTTCAACCTTCTGTATTGTAATTGTTCTAGCTTCACGAGGACTAAATGAGCGTTCTTGCGTAGTGCTGATTCTTTAATCACATTTTTCGGCAAAACCCTACTTTTATTTTAAAAGACAAAACTTGATTTACCACAAACCTTTGCACGTCTGCGAGTCATACCCTAGTTTGTAACCATCGGGACACGAGCATTCACGCTTCCCATTAACCAGGTTGCATGTGTGCGAGCATCCACCATTGTTGTTCACACAAGGGTCGATGTCTGAAAGGAAACTTATGTCAATCTTGGCTTAACTGCGTTGCACCTAATATGTGTACTTACTCCTTGGGTGTACCAGCTTACTGACACGCTGTAACAGCCCCACCCCTTCTTTCGATCACACTACCTTCAAATCCTATCGACCAATTTCTTTCCACATTTTCCGCCATCTTAACCAACGTGGACATCAACAGCTACTATGAATTTGCAGTGTTAATGTAAAATCTTCCATAGGATATTGATAAAAAATTCCTTACGGGTGAGGGGTCAGTAGTTAAAGAAAAATAGGGTCGCTGAAACTTACCAAAGCCTCGGTAACTGATTTTGAATCCTCTTGCGTTCACATTCATATCGGTTTTGAAGGTCATTTCCACTGATTCACCGTCTAGTTTGATGCTCAGTACACGAGGATTCAGTGACCCGCAAACAGCGATTCTTTCGTTGCTATACCGGCCTTTTTTAACTTTGATTTCAAGGAAGTCGAATTCTTCACAGTTTGTAGATCCTTCAAGCTTAATGGAAAATAATAACAAAAAACCGTTAAGAGAAATCGAATGCAATGACCTAATTGGCAAGTGGAACAATTTGGGAGGGATGGAGGTCGGGATAGCTACATGTGCGCTTGTACAGCCTGGGGTCAGTACATGCAAAGGAAACTAGCGTGAAGGTTATATCAACATTATTAACTTTGCCAGAAAATTTTCCTCCAGTTTAAGTCGCTTAAAATATAAAAAGGCAACACTGATGCACGGAAAGGTGTATGACTCAAGCGATATTTGCACGGCTTTTGCCAAGAAAACAAAATCTTGCAACTTGACTTCGCTCCACAATTTCGCGCAGTAAATAGGGAAAAGCTTTTGATTATTTACTTACCAAGAAGTCCTCAATAGTGATATTCACATGGGACTTGTAAGGAGAGATCTTCCATCTACAAGTGATACCATCTGGATAGTCGTTTGGGTAATTTGGTGAAGTTATTTGTCCAGTTTCATTGTTAAGGACACCGCCACATTTTGCTACTGTAATAATTTAGATGTAAAGAATGATTGAATGTGACACAGAGATTTAGTCAAAACTCGTTATTAAAAATCTCTGAGCCATATATGAATTCTAACATCATGGCCTAGAATCAGTAATCTTTTTCGTTGAAAAAAATTGACACTTTCATATATTCTCGTCTGTAAAGTGGAGAGGCACTTCCGGAATTCCTCTCTACAAGAGATGAGCCATTAAAAGGTGAGCAAAAGGGCGCACAGAGGAAAACGCCGTGAAGTAAAAAAAGATTAACCTGCATCATCAGAAAGTAAAAGCTGTCCTACGCAGAAAAAGTTATTTAGACTTTCCCACTTGGTATGCCATAAAACTTTAATCTTTCAAAATCCTTTACCCCTCCTTAATTTTTCTTAAGGTCTGTTATTTAATAATGTGACGTGACCTCTAAATTACTACAGCTGTCCTTTTCCTAAAAAAACGTCTAAAGCAGCCATGTATCAGGACCAAAGTATTTGGCAAACACCTCTGACTAAAATGTCATGCTGTCAAGCTTGGTTTACAATTACTTTATATAGGGAAAGGAAACCACACCATGGGAAATCGCCAACTGAATCATGGCTGAATAATAACTTTGAGTGACCCAACTGTCAACACTTCCTAGTTAAACTAGACAGAGATATTCTGGTGGAGACAAAATCTTTTTACACATGCCAATGTTAATCTTAAGATTTTAACCGACGAGTTACACACTTCTTAACAATTCTACTCTTGCTCTATGCCAAAATATTTCGGCGTTTTTCGGAAAACCATGCTTAAAAAAGTGAGATTGACTGTAGTGAGAGATCAGTTGAGGTGAGATGACACAAAATGTCAATCGGGTGTAAATGAATAACTAACACAAATTGCGAAATCTGTAAACAGTGTTGAGCTTTCCAGTGAAAAGTGCCTCACTGAACTTTATTTGGGGTACAACAGTGACAAAACCACAAACGTCATTTAACCTTTTCTCCACGTTTAAGATTTAAAATTATCACAAGGAGATCAATTTGATGGGGATCGAGACCAGAATCAGCGCCTATCAAACCTTGACTTAAACAAAGTTTTCGAGTGAGACAAAGTTTATTCCCTTACCTTCAACCGCCAGAGATGAGCCAAAGAAATACAGCAAAACGAACGCAGTACTGAAGATCGCCATAACTATGTGCATTTCTTCTTGAGCTGTAACTCTGACTGCACTGACGCAAAAAGCGAATGCTCTAGAGCTAAGTGTAAATGACTGACAGCAGGCTATTTAGGATCACATTACATCTCTGCCCACGCGGCACGCGCGCCTTCTTCGTAAAGACGTGACCTCGAAGTTCTTCCGTCTCTTCATGCAATTCCCGAGGAGGAGGACCAATGAGGAATAGTTCAAATCATACGTGGGGAAACCTTTTTCTTATTAACTTTGGACCCAGTTTATGTACTTTCACAAGCCAAGAATGAGCGAAGCTCTGCACCTCGACCACATCTCATGTGGACAGATGATAGATAGAAAATATGTGGTTTAGAAGTACGCAACTATACCCCCGGATGTAACTCGGTCAATTTTGTAATTCAACCAGTGGATTTCTTAAGATTTCTTATGACAGTTGTGCCCGGATGTGCTACATTTACTTAAGTGCCGCACCCGCCTGTGGCGAGGTGGGGTCTCACTAGCAGCTCATTGGATGCTTAAAATATTTTTGCTTCACCCTCAGTTACCTGAAGATCCATTTAGGTTTCTACCTATCTGTAACCTCCTTTTATTCTCATCGATTTTATGAGAAAGTATGTAAAGTTACCGACACTTTTCTCCTTCAAGAAATATTTCGTACATGGCGTGACGTCAAACCTGGGTCTGACTAAAAACACTGGGAACAAGTTGGATGGCGGCGCAACATTGAGAGTTAAGAATGATGGAGCGGGAATTTGACCTGGACTGACATTTTCCTTTCAATACCAGTTGGTATTGTTTGGATGAGAAACTAGTGACGAAAGCAGTCGCAAAACACCGAAATTAAATGGAGAGCACGTTTGACCGGGTATAATGGTGATAAAAAACTGTTATGTAAACCAAGAAGGCGAGTAAAGCCTCGAAATCAACGATGTCTGGTTTCAGCTTTCTGCGGTCAGGTTTAAATCAATTTCCAGTTACAACTTTGGTTATTTCGATAAAATGAGATCATCGAGATAAATTGCACCAAATTATCTTGCATCAATTTAGCTTGTGGTTCAAATAAATCATGCGATTACTCAGACTTGCATAACAGTCCATATCATAACGAACTATTCCAAAAATGGTGGCAGATTGAAAACTTTTCACTTACCAGGTAACCAGTTTTATCCATTCCAATACTTTTGGTGAAAGAATGAGGACTTCGTACATTAATTCTTCATATAATGAGCCACCATTTTTGCTACTGTTTCGCAATAATTTCAAGACTTATCTTTGCAGTGTCCACCAACTATTCTTCATTCCAGTGTATCCTCTTGACCAGAATCTTTGTCCTTCCATCTTGTAACCACTTTGCCTCTCCTTAAAATAAAAATAGTGAATGTGATTAGGGAATGCTAACTGTCTCAGAACGAAGACGCACAATCTTAGGACCTTAAAATTTGATTTCTATATAATTCATTCCCACTGGAGCACAATTAAAGAAGAAAGGGAAAACACGAAGACTTTTCGAAATGTCTTGTGAAATGAAGCAAAGGTAGAGTTTGTAGAAGAGCCGTCTCATATCCCGTGGCCATATTAAATTAAGAAATAGTCCTCTTTGAAATCTTCACATTATTGAGTCACAGAGAGATAGCCATGAATTTCTCTTCAAATATTTGACAATCACGGGTTCTGCTTTTCTCGACGGCAACACCATAATTCAATCAAACTTCGAGTTGATGCCGTTGAGTGGGCCGCTCAGACAAAGCAACCGATTCGCGTTTTGTCGTTTAAACGATATGATACGACAAGTTTAGCTTTCTAAAGGAATTTAAAACAATATTTCCCTCACTTTGTGTAGTTAGCAACACTAAAAACCTTCTGTTACACTCCTGAAATAGTCCAACGTCGTCGTCTTTCTAGAGTGCACCTTTTTTCTTCAGAACTTGGAAGGCGCGTCTTCTCTCTTAGATGGACAGCGTGGTTTGCTGGAAATTCTAAAATTCGTGATAAATATGGATTAGCAGCTTCAGCCAATGATTGGCTGATACGTCACTGATTTGATGCAAAGTTTTGTTTGCATGCTTAGGAGCCAATTGAGTATCAAGAAGGTGCATTGTGTGAGAGGAATTGGTGTGTGAAAGAGGAAAAAATAATTTGTTGGACTGTATGGCTATACTGTAAAAGGAAAGAACTCTTAAATAAAAAAAAGCATTGAATAAATTCGTTAGCAAGCGTCGGTTGTAAAACTCAAACTGTTGGAACTGATTTCGACAAAGATTTCCGTATAACTCCATACTGCATTATGTGTACATTTTATTTAAAAAAAGAGAGACGATGGAACTGATGCATCGTCTTATAATAGTGTGGGGTTATACGGAAATCTTTCACTTATTTTAAAAGCATATAGAGACATTAAAGATTTATTATCAGCAAGGATAAAAAATGATGAGAAAAACAAAAAAGAAACAAAAATGACAAGATTTATTATCAGTAAGGATAAAAAAATGATGAGAAAAACAAAAAAGAAACAAAAATGACAAGATTTATTATCAGTAAGGATAAAAAAATGATGAGAAAAACAAAAAAGAAACAAAAATGACAAGATTTATTATCAGTAAGGATAAAAAAATGATGAGAAAAACAAAAAAGAAACAAAAATGACAAGATTTATTATCAGTAAGGATAAAAAATGATGAGAAAAACAAAAAAGAAACAAAAATGACAAGATTTATTATCAGCAAGGATAAAAAAATGATGAGAAAAACAAAAAAGAAACAAAAACGACAAGATTCCCCGCGCCAGGGTTTGAACCCTGACCACGGGGTCAGATGCTCTACCCACTGAGCTGCGGGGAACTTGTCAACATCTGAGGTAAAACTGTAAGCTCATGTTTTCGATGTTTTTTTTACTGCCAGGATCAAACTTAGCAACAGAAGCGAAGAAGTGTATTGAAAACAGAGTAAAAGTACTTGTACCAATGTTGGAGAAATTACTGTCGGACCACTGAATGAAGTAAAATTACTGTAATCAAGTAACATAATTGTACCAGCTTACAGTTGATAGATGAATAAAGACAATACAGACAGCAATTAAAGAGCGAGTGTCTACACTGAATAGATACACAACAAGCGCTATCTCATCGTACGATAACTTTTGAGCAATGGTTTGCTGATGGCTTACTCAGCATGAATGAACATCAGCAAGATAATAAAGGAAAAGTCTTTCGACTTAAATGAAAAGTTATTATACTGATTCAGCTATTTTATTGAATTGAGGCAAGAGACTATAAGATCGAGATTAAGTTCATGGTGTGGAGAAGAGTAAAACTTACCATAAACTGGGGATTAATGTTCATTTATTTCCAAAAAGAAAACACTCAGCGGACAAACACCGTCATTCACCACTATTCATCGGCGAGGAAGATGAGAAAACAAACAGATATAAAAAACAATCTGAAGCAAAAAACAAACAAACAAAACAGTAATAGATGAAAAAAAGATAAAACTTGGTATTAACCTGTTAAAAGCGCGTTTAAATAGAAAAATTAGACCTGCGATAGACATTTATACCATTTTTGTTATTTGAGAATGATCACAAGAGTCAATAAGTTTGTATGATTATGATAATGATATTAATAAGCATATATAGGGAAGGAACAGGAAGTTTGCAAAAAAGGCCCCCGTATTTACACGGATCTTTTTCATTTTCCCAGCACGTAAATTAAAATTGTGGACTGGCATTTAAAATGAAAGAAGATTAGATGACTTGCGTTTGTTGATGAATTATGATTTTCTTGTTTTAACTCGAAGAAAAAAAACAGAGAAAAACTTTGTTTAATTTTTTCCAGTAGTTGTCTAGTGCACGCCCTTGTGTTGTATACGAGAAGGTTCAATTTAAGTTGAAACGAAATTTTCAACACTAAGTGGCCATTTGATGAAACGCTCATAGACTGACTTTCGTCGGGTCGGTTGGGAAGATGTTTGGGTCGAGGTCATGACTTGTGGACCGCGCGAACTGCACATTGACATGTGTATATAATTCTTTCAATCCTTTTCCCGTTCCTCTTCTATTAATTTTCCAGAAGTTCCACGGTTAGTTTTTTACGAATCAAACAATGTCTTCTGATCTGTTCATTCGGAAAGTAAATTTACAATGGACGTATTTCACACCAGTAGAATAACAAAAATTAATACCAGTCGCGTTGGACAGGTAAGTTTTCCTATTATATTGCAAAAGTGTTTCCTAGTACAATTGGATAGAAACCTATCACCAAGTAGAATTCATTCTTTGATTAAATAAAACGATTTACGAAATATTGTGCTCTTATTTCAGAATGATCATTTTCTTTTATTTTAATCAGCCCTCGTCAATTATTGAGCTAACCAAGACAACCAATAGAAATCATTTTTATTTTTAATGTCAATTAATATATATATATTGACCAATGGATAAAAAGGAAAGAACGGCTCAAATTCATCTAATTGGTGCAAAAACAGTATAAATACTGCACCCAGAAACGTGTGCGCTCTACCTTCAATAAAAGTTTGCCAGTTTAAAGGGTCTACCCAAAACTCAAACAGACAAACTGGTTTCTGTTTTGGTTATTTCCAGGAAGAGAGAGAGACCACCCCCCGGTTTCTCTTGGTTTCACCAAAAAAATAGCTTCAAAACAAGTAAAACGTGTAAAGTTGTCACTGCGATGGGGACTTTAAGCAACGAGAACGGGGACGGGGACGGGGACGGGGACGGGGACCGCAGGCTCTCAGGGAAAATCCAAATAATCATGTGCGCATGACTGGCGAGAAAAAGTTCGGCCCCGACGTGAAACGAGTCACTTTGACGTTGGCTGAAAACGTGAGTATTCTTTTTCGCCTTCTCTGCTATCTAAACGTTAAATATTCTCGGGAGACAATTTAAAATAACTGTCATCGCTTTTTTCTTTCATAAAGTGAGATTATTCGTTAATTTGGTGGTTTGTTTTCGAACAGAAACGTCGAGACGCTGATCGAGACCGACACCATTTAACGAAAATGTGAGTAAGAAATGTAATGTAAATAATCTTATCTCACACTGATACCAATCGAAAATTCGCCGCTGAGAATCACTCAAAAGTCAAGAGTTTGACAAAGAAGATATTCTTACTAGATTTAAAAGGGCAGACAGCCCTACAACTTA